TATATTTAAAAACAAAAAAATACGATATATATATATATATATATATATATAGGGGAGTGACGATAAGATATTTTTTTCAAATAATTTGACTGAAATAATCTTTATTTTATTTTATTTAAAATATTATATAAATTATATATAATGTAGTTAAATGGATATTTTCATATTTTCATTTTAATTATTATTCACTCTTGTACATTAATAAATTTATTAATTTATTATTAAAATGAACATTAATTTAAATAAATAGAATTTATTCTAAATATTTGGATATTTTTTGGCGTTTCTTTGTTCAGATTTAAGATTTAAGAAACGGATCGGTCCAGAATCCACTTGTTTCAGTTTTCACATTGGTAGTGCACGTGGGAACTCCTCGTGATAATAGAAATAGAAAGGTTAATAGATTCACATTCTATCGACCTATTTTATTAACAACCTCTTTTATAACTGCATTTTATAATAAAGTAAGCAATGTCGTGGCTTTTTGGATATCGTAATACACAACCGCAAGACTTCTCACAGTTTGTACAACCACCGGCATCCATTGGAAGTGGAGGTGGAGATGATCGTACACCACCACCGAGAATTTCTCAAATGGAACCCTATCGATTCGATTCGAGTGCTTTGGAAAGAGCAGCAGCAGCTGCCAAAGAACTTGAAAAATCTAGTATGATGAGTTGTTTTTATTAATTTTTCTTATTAAATTGTTGCACTAGATTACGTAAGCAAAAAGCAACTAGGTTAAGAATCTCATGCTCTGTATGATACGATATTTCATAACTCTATAATCATACAATGATGACATTCTTGAATGAAGTTTTACAAGATAATTTTCATAAATGAAAATAATCATGAAATGAAAAGTTATACATTTATTTAAACGAAATAAACATTTATGTAACATTTAACGTACGTTTAATATACGTTTTTTTTATTATAATTATTTATTCAAAAATTTATTTTATTATCCATTATAGAATGATAATAATTTTATTTATTATGGATAGAATTATTATTTAAAGTAGAAAATCATAAACGAATTATTCTTTACATTATATAGAACAAAATTATTATTATTATTATTTTAATTTTATAGTGCATGCTAAAGAAGCATTGGAATTATCTAAAATGCAAGAAACTACTAAACAGATGGAAAGACAAGCAGAAGTAAAAAAGTATGAAGCAAGTATAGAGCAAATGAAAGCAGAACAAAAACGTATTGATGGGGAAGAAAGGAGAAAAGTTTTGCAAGAAGAAACAAAACAACATCAAATGCGAGCGCAGTATCAAGATCAATTGGCAAGAAAACGATATGATGATCAATTAATACAACAACAGAGAATGAATGATGAAAATTTAAGAAGACAGGAAGAATCAGTGGCAAAACAAGAAGCAATGAGAAAAGCTACTATAGAACATGAAATGGATTTAAGACACAAAAATGAAATGAAAAAGTTGGAAGCAGAAATTAAAGCAAAAGCAAAAATAGATAGAGAAAATCAAGATTTGAATTTAGAAAAAATTAGAGTGAAAGCATCTGAAAAACGAGTAACAGTTTTAGAATCTATAAAGTTAGTAAAAATAAGTATTAAGTATATGACAATATAATAAAAATATTAAATGTATAGAATTATATTTATCGAATTTTTTTTCAGAACCGCTGGTTCGGTATTAGGTACTGGTATGACTGCTTTTCTTCAAGATTGGGATAAAATTCTTGCTGCGGCTGGAGGTTTATCTCTATTGGCTTTCGGTGTATATACTGCGAAAGGCACAACCGGTGTAGCTGCGCGATATATAGAATCGCGATTAGGAAAACCATCCCTTGTTCGAGAAACTTCTAGATTTACGGTATTAGATACGTTACGGCATCCTATTCAAGCAGTCAAGAAACTAAAAGATAAGCAGACCGATGCTCTATCTGGTGTTGTTTTAGCACCGAAGCTTGAAGAAAGATTACGCGACATTGCAATAGCTACAAAAAATACAAAACTAAATCGCGGAATGTATAGAAATATATTGATGCATGGACCTCCTGGAACAGGTAAAACAATGTTCGCTAAAAAATTAGCAGAACATTCGGGTATGGATTATGCAATCGTAACTGGTGGTGATTTGGCACCATTGGGTCGAGACGGTGTCACTGCTATTCACAAAGTTTTTGATTGGGCGGCAACATCTAGGAAAGGGCTTCTGCTTTTCATTGATGAGGCAGATGCTTTTTTAAGGAAGCGATCGAGCGAACATATCTCGGAAGATCTAAGAGCGATGTTAAATGCATTTCTCTATAGAACTGGTGAGCAGAGCAACAAATTCATGTTGATTCTCGCATCGAATACTCCGGAACAATTTGATTGGGCAGTAAATGATAGATTAGACGAGATGGTAGAGTTTCGTCTACCAGGTCGAGAAGAACGTGAACGTTTAGTTCGACTTTACTTCGATAAATTTGTTCTTCAACCAGCGATCGAAGGGAATAAGAGATTAAAAATTGCGCAATTTGATTACAGCGCTCTTTGTAGTAAAATAGCAGAAATAACAGATGGAATGTCAGGCAGAGAATTAGCAAAATTAGGTGTTACTTGGCAAGCAACAGCTTATGCTTCCGGAGATGGAATATTAACAGAACAAATGGTTATAGATAAATGCAAGGAAGCTGTTAAACAGCATAAACAAAAGGTCATTATTAATTAAAATAATTATTTTTTTATTTTATTTATTTGTTTTTTTTTTTTAGAATAATGAAAAATTATTTAAAATGTTCTTTTTCTTTTTATAATTCCAGGTTCAGTGGCAGAGTGAACAAGAAAAACAAGAAGCGAAATCGATTTACGTTACCGAAATAGAAATTCCGCCTATAAAGACTAAACCTGTAGTTGAAACACCATCGGAAACAACTTCTGTGGCAACAGCTTAACTAATTAATTAATGCACAAAAAATCGCAAAACATATTTTATTAAAAAAATGAATTAGTTAGAATAAATGACAATGTGAAAGGTGTAAATGATATTGTTACAAGAAGATGGATTTAATGATGAGTTCTCATTTTCTATATAAAATATAAATGTATAAATATTTTAAGATAGAAGTATATTTGTTGTAAATTCTTAGCTTGATTAAATATTATGTATACCTTTATATGTATATATACATATATGTATGTATGTGTTTGGCGCGTGCGTGTATATTATATATTGACAGTATGTATGTTTAAATACTTCGATTATACAGTTTAAAGAAAAAAATCTTATAAATTTAAAAAGTCATAATTAAAATTCAAACACATATTTCAATATTTTCGTTATTCATTTGATTTTCTTTTCTCATTTATTTTTGATAGGTTTCTTAAATTTCATTGAACATTCTTAATTATACTATAAATTAAATTTAATAGTTAAAAATTCTCAGAATTCTAATCACAATTCAACAATTGAATTATTGATGAGTAGTAAAAATAAAATTAATTTAATTGATATCAATTGATAATATAAATTGAATGTAGAATGAATCTATAATCCAATATATTTTCGTGTTACATGATCTAAGAATTATATAGTCCCAGTTATCATTCTTATGTCACATGTGACATTATCGATTCAAAATGAAGTAAGACAACTAAATTAGAAAAAGGATTAAATTCAGACAATTATCTTTGACAAGAATTATAATCGATTTATCAAATTTAAATTTAAATATCTATATTTGTGAAATATTTTCAATTTTTATATGTAAATTTTGATATAAAAAGAATAA